CTTAGGCAAAAGGCCGAGAAAGGTGAAGACGGGGCGGGGGAAGGCGGGGAAAGGTGGGGGATTGAAGGCAGCGAAAGGTGGGGGATTGAAGGCAGGGGAAGGTAGGGGATTGAAGGCAGCGGAAGGTGGGGGATTGAAGGCAGCGGAAGGTTGGTTGTGCAATTTGGGATTGAACTTTCCCTGGATCACAACGAAATCAAGCTGAAGGCATTTTACAAGTATCGAATTTCGGTTTGTTATTGCTCATTGAGATATATGAATTGGGGGCATATATGGCCCCCCCCCAATGCATGCATGCGCCTGGGGGGGCGGCATACATGGGTGGCCACCATACATGAGGGGCCATCATACATGGGGGGGGCCATGCATGTATGCACCTTACCTGAGGGCCCCCACGTATACGGGGTCCCCYATATATGGGGGGCATTGGGGCCCCCCATGCATGCAACACCCCAAAGAAAAATGCATGTGTGGAGGTCATGCAAGCATGAGGGACCCCTATGCGCGGGGGCCCATATGTGCCTCACATAGGGGGCCAACCCATATCGAGATATGGGAATTGGAGGAATGGTTAAAGGGGTTCCCCTGTGCATAGGGGCCCATACATGTCGGGGCCCCTCATATGGGCATCCCCCCTGCATGCACGGGCCCCCCTCTGGATATGCATGCAGGGGTCCCCCCATATGCGGGGGTCCTTGCAGGGCCCCCCCCTGGGCCCCATGTAAGTGTCCCTATATGCATATAGTGGACCCCCTATATATATGGGGGGCCCTCTATGCATGCGCCCCTCCCTATGCATGCAGGGGCCCCTGCACGCGGGGCCCTTTTCCTGTTTCGTTGTCTTCGCAGGTCCATTGGGGATACGTCTTCTTATAACCACAACAGTGGCTATCCTCAAATTTTCAAGAAAAACCTTTTTTTTTTTTTTTTTTTCAACAAGCTTTTCCGTTTTGCTAAAAATAGGTTTTCCTCAAAGTTGTGGTGACATATGAGCCTCGAGTCACATTGCGTTTGAACGAAAATAGTTTTCTATGTAAAACATTGAGGACTTTGCAAACTGGACTTTTTTCTTGGTCCACTTTTCACGAATAGCTTGTTAATATGGCCTTGATCTGGCGCTCTCTTCTTTTGATTCCTGTTTCTCACTCATTTTTGTCCTGAGCTGCTTGTAGATTTATCCTCACCTTCAAGTTGATATAGTGGGATATGGGACCACTCCATTTCCCCATTGCACATCTGTGTCCAGTCGTTTGCAAATTTCCAGAGCGGGCCAGAAGTATGCCGTAGATTTAAGCCCCTTTTACCAATAATGGTATTCCAGTTTTTTTTTTTTTTTTTTTTTTTAAAAACTACCCTATATTCTTCTCTGAGTTCTCTCATTATATCTCCGACTACCTACCTACCTGTAGTCCAGCTGCACCTAAGCTGGGACTCTCCCCGTAATTTCTTTGGGTTGACCCTAAACTCTGCTCTGTGCGGGGAGCAGTACCCCATCTTCTAACCCTTGGCGCAGGATGGAAGGCCACAAGCAACCTACCACCATCAGCCAGAGGGGGAAGCCACCTATCTACGCTGGTGAACCCGAAGTGTGCCGCAGGGGGCTGCGGGGAGTCCAATGGATGATGTGGGGAACCAAACCCATGACCTCCTGAATGCCACTCGATGCTTTTTTGTTTTTTTAACTTTTTTTTTGGAACATTTTTTGCCTTACTTCAGTGTGACACTATAGCTTCCTGCCTTTCCTGTTTGATGACGAGTTTGGGATCACATTGGAAGTGCACTGTAGCTTCTTATCCCCTAATAGTAATCAGCGAACCTTGGGTCTCAATAGTAATCAGCGAACCTTGGGTCTCGGTATTAGATTTTGGACAGCAGAGTAAAGTTTCCATTAAACCACCAGTACCTTTCCCCACGTGAAAAACACATGTGCGGCTTGTGTACGGCCGCAGGTACCAGGGCGGCGTTTTGCCGGATATGCATCTAGGCAAAACGGGTCTCACATGCGACCCGTTTTGCCTGGATAAATATCCAGCAGAACGGTGCCGGTACTTCCAGACAGTCGCTGCTGTATACATGCTGCGACTCTGAAAACATAGCTGGGAAATGTACTCAGTCTGGTGGTTTAAGATCATGGGCCAAAACCCGACCTTTGTAGTAAATCCATGAATGAGTCATCGTCCTTCCTTGTCTTGAGGCGGACGTGGTACTCTGTTCCAATGAAGTGGGGAAATATAATCTGATTTTACCGAGGTTGGCTTTTGCCGATCTTTTGTTATGTCGTATTCAATTTGGGTTATTACTGAGCACCCGCTTTCATTTGAGTTCCTTTTGGTTGCATTTGGAAAACTATGGCTACCCATTTTTGGCCTGTACTTTCCAATAAGTCTCCCGTTACACTGTTGCGCTCCACGTACTCAAAACCCTAGTCTTGGCTCACTTCCTTGCTGGATCTGGTCGATATTTCTTTCCTAAGAAGAAGCGTGTTTACATCAGATTCTGTGAGTCTTCTCGTGCATTGCAACCTTTCCGAGGGGACTCGGCTGCCCGGTCTTCACCAATGCGTCCATGGACGTTTGGGTGATCCTAGGAATGGACTTTCAGCCAACATTGAAGGAAGGCGAAACAAAACCCTAGGACCCCAGGGGCCATGCCGCACTGGAGGAGGTTTACTTCTCGTTTCGAGTATGCACGGGTACATGACATCCGATCTGAAAATCTTATGACTACAGCGTGACCACATAGAAAAATACTCGAAACCAGAACTAAACATCCACAAGTGGGGCAGCATGTGAAGCTCCCCAGGAATAGACTGAAGCTTAAGAAAAGAAAAACAAGAAAAGAAAAAAGTGGGGCACGAGCCCGTGTATTCACTAAAACTGGTGGCACTTGCACAAAACAACCTTCCCGCTAAACTCTGACAATTTGAGTGTTTGTGGTAGGGTCGTAGAGAGTCTTACAAATATTGTAGGAGCGTTAACTTAACGTTCTAGAGTCCAATCTCATCTTTCTCACTTTTTCTCAATTCGAGACAAGAATGCCCAAGCTTTATTGGTTTGTGGGATGTCGTAGCCCTCCTACGAAGTCGAAGAGTGTGTCATCAGATGTCAGATATGTTGTCATTATCATTCCACGTATCTTTTCATCGCAATCACTGTCTGGCAGAGGATCAGGTTTCAGGCCTTAGAACATAATAAGCGATTTGGATTATCAGTGATCCAATGGTGGGATAGCCGTACTGCTCTCTTATTAAGATTTTCTGAGTTTAAAGTATACGGTTCCACACCCCTCATAGCTGCCTCCAAATTTCCAAACCCATGTCATTGAGTGATGGCGCATCCCCCCGGGAAAGCTAGCTTGCTCAAGAAGGGAAACAACAAAAATATAAAAATAGAAATCCTTTCGGGCAACGTGTGCGCTCGTCCTGAGCAGTAAGAATTTTGCGTTTTCTTCCAGCTCGGTGACGGCTCACCCCTGGGGGCCTCTATGGGGTATAAACACTTTATATAGGGGTTAGTTTTTAAGGGATTTAAAATTTCTCTCTTCCAGTTTGGTGCCCATGGGGGCTGTAGGGGGGATAAAGTACTATAAACAGTTTTTCTAGGGTTATTTTTTAAAGGCATTTATCTTAAACCACCAGTACTTCCGAGACACTTTTCTGATGATGCTGGAAGCGCGCTGCGCGACAAAAAACCCGAACTGCCACAACTTTCCTTAGGCTGGTGCCGCCAACCATTTTGCTTACGCTCCCGAGCCCTGAAAGTCGTGGCGGATTACCATGAGGGGCTCACGGCTGATGTACGGGCCAAGTACTGGTGGTTTAATGCGTTTTTAAACTTTTTTTTGGATTTATTTCTTACCTTGAAATCAATTAATAATTTGGAGGTGACAACCAATCCAAAGTTACTTGTAGTGCAATTTTGCACAGCATTTTTCTTCCCGATATTTAAGATCTTGTTTCCTTTTTTTTTTCCTTCCGTATTTTGCAATTTGTTGGCACCATGCCTGGACCTTGCCCTGCTGGGAGCCCCGAGACTACCCTAGATGGGTATCCACGCAATCTTCAAGGGGGCAAGCCATCTGCCTTGTAGGATAGGACTCAAAGTCGACGATCCTGACACTGGTAAGGCCATGGTTACCCTAGATCTCCACCCGGATCCAGAGATGCGCGGGCTTGTACATGAGCTTGTTATTAAACAGTTTTGTGTCCATATTTCAATTAACATGATGGCCACAATGGGGACCAGATTTGCCGATCAGTGGACGTGATGTTTATGCAGGTGTGTGCTAACTAGTAATCTTGTATGTGTTTCCTCCCATCTCTGTCCTCCTTTCGTCTTCCTCTCACTCCATTGCTCCCATCTTTATCTTTTCCGCCCCTCCTATCTTATCTGTGATCCTCTCGCCCTCCCCACGTCCTGACTCTTTTCCTCTCTACCTTTCTCTCTCATCTCAACCTTTCCCTTGTCCTCCCTGCCCTTCTATCGCAGCTTCAATCCCATCCTTGCACTCTGGCTCTCTCCTTGTTTCTTCCATCTCTCCCGTCCTCCCCTCCTCCCCTCCTCCCTCCTCCCCCTCCCCTCTTGACTAGTTTCAGCATCCTCCAATGCAAACTTAGCTCCTTTCCCTTATTCTTCCATCTTAGCCTGCCCACTGCTCTCTTATCTGGATGGATATCCTAGTTGTGTCATCGTCGTTGTTTTCAATACCTTCCTCCTCCTTCTCCTCCTTCGCTTCCTCCTTTCTATGACTCCTTACCTTGTGACTATCCCTTCTATCCTCGCATCTACCCTCTCCCTCCTTATTTTCCATCTCGGTTCTCCCACTCTCCCCCATCCGACTCCTATGGTCAGCAGTTTGAGCTCTGGCATCATACCGAACTGTAATAAACATCAGACTCAGTGAATTCGGAATTAGTCGTGTTCTTGCATTGACGATTCGAGGTATAAGTATACTGACATTTCCTGTATCGTGTCTGGTGTTGTCTTTGTGTATGCTGTCAGATGTCGTCTGGTTATGGCACGATAGGGGCAAAAGCTAGTTTCTGGAGATTTGGCGGCCAGAAACGAGGGCCAGTGATGTGCTGTGCTGCATCTGAAACCACTTCAGACCCTGGGGTAAGACAATTTCTGTACGACTGTCGTGCTCTCGGCTAAGCACTCAACTATAGTGAAGAATTGAAGTCACGAAACTCCAACCCCAACCTCAGTCTTTCTGCAGCACACACACACATGCACACACAGAGGAAACATATGGGTATGGAGAAAGGAAACACCTGTCTGTGATACTCAAGGGTGATAAGAAACATAATTATATGGGTATGGAGAAACAAGAAACTCAAGGGTTAGTCTCCCAGCACCAAGATGGGCAAGAAGTCATTTTACAGAAATAGTAAAGTGGAGGGGGAAAGAAGGGATAGTGACGAAGAGAGTGACTCACAGGGAGGAACGTATGGAGAGAAACTGAGCTCTACATGGAATAAGATTGATGAAACGGTGGAGAGGTTCCAAACAGGAGAACGAGAGAGAAAAAGCAAGACAAGCAGACTAATGTGCACACAGATTCAGAAAGTTGCGTGTGGGTGTATGTGTGGGTGTTTGTGTGTGTGTGTGTGTGTGTGTGTGTGTGTGTGTGTGTGTGTGTGTGTG